GGTTATAATCATTTGCTCCAACCCAGTTATCATAATCTTATCCTCCAATACTTTGAATGTCGAGGTCATCCTTCTCTAACTTATAAATAATTTCATTTGCTAAACCACTACCAGTTTTCTCTTTTGTTTCTACAAAATCTATAAAGCTTTCTTCAATAAATATGGATTCGTCTGTTATATACACGTGTCTAATAATCTGACACAGTTGCTCCTGATGCGAAACATCTGGTGTACAGGCAAATATCAAAGAAAAATATTTCGCTTTTTTGATCCTAGACGAATTTCGAATCGAACATGATTACCTAAGAGTAGTAAAAATTCATCTTGTACTTTATCAGACAGATAAGAAACGGGATCCCTTTCTGTGATTAGTTATAGGGTAAGCAATATTTCTATCATAATGACCTATTAATTCCGTTAAATTTAGGAATATTCCTGCACTTAAACTGCCAATAATTTCATGCGTAGCAAAATGATGTCTAATATAACGCGTAAGATATGTCGCCACTTTTTCTTTTCGGATCCTACTGTTTTACGCCGGGAATCATCTTTGCAACCATCTCCTTTGATTTTTTTTCAAAGCATTTTCATTGAAGACAAGCATCACGATGAAACAAAATTCTCGTGGTTCATTAAAAGAATTAGAGAAGAGGTATAATATTTTCTCATTTTAAACTCATTATCTCTACATATAATAAAACAAAGAGTATGTCTGTGTGTGTGTGTGTCTTTCGTTCGCGCTGCGCGTAAGCTAATAGACCCACGGCTACGAAATTTGGTACATAGGTGCATGTAGACAAGAGCCAGTACACCTCGGAGCGATTTTGTCGAAATTCGAATTGGAATTGTTTTTATTTTATGTTTTGTGACGAAATTGCGTCATTTTGAAACATAATGGGCTATAGGAAAGCGAGATTTTACTCTACGCAATCCATTTTCACATCGTCAGGAAACGTAGGCACTTAAGCTATTTTACGAACTTAAAATAAATTTCGTGTTTCAATAAATCGATTAAATACGAATTTATTTAATAAAGTGAGCTTAACACCTTTTCAATGGGATTTTTTCTAAAAAGGTTTATTTTTAAAAATGTACAGCTCATTTTTCTTTGATTTTTGGGCACGTTAAACTCCATCCTTGCGACTTCTTTTACAAAAAGAATTTTGGAAAAATGATAATATTTTGTATTTTAAGAACATTTTTAAATGAAGCTTCTGAGTACACTTCTCACATCTCACATCTCTAAAAATGTGATTTTGGCAACAACTTTCCTTTCTTATTGTTGTTGATAGATTTTGATGAAATCACATCATTTTGAATAGTTTCATTCTTCTAGAAATATGGGTTTGGCAACAGTTTTTCATCGTATTTCTTATGTCATGTTTTAAGAAATTGGCATATTTTTTGCCATTTTTTTATATATAATACATTTTTATTGATGTTTTTAAAGTTGTTCTGCAGAGTAAAATTCTGCGCGGAAATTTTTGTTTTTTGAGTTTCATGTTTTTTTTTGCTTATTTCACTGTTTGTGAGATACTGAAAAATTTGCATGCTTTTTCCTTAACGGAAAGTTGGTTAATTTTTTTTTATTAGGATAATTAATATTTGTATAAGGGATATCTATTTCATTCCAATTTTTGGTGCTACTTTGTTAGACGGCTGCACAGATTTTGGCGATTTTTTCTTTTAGCGATACGACGTACGGTAAACCCATTGATGGATAAATTATTTATGGTAACCAATACTTTGTTGTAATTTTATTTTAAAAATAATGCACTTTATTATGCATAAATTCCACTGTTTTTAAGATATTGAAAAGTTTTTACTGATTGATTTAGGAAACAAAGTTCTTAACTTCCTTTATACCATTTGAGTTCTTAAGATTTTGCAAAGGGAAATTGGTTATTTATTTATTAGGATAATTAATATTTTTATTAAGGGATATTGCTTATTTCATTGTAATTTTGTTATACGTAATAACTTTTTTTTATGAAGTTGTTCTGCAGAGTAAAATTCTATGCATTTTTTTAAATTTAACGTTTGGTGTTCCATTCAGCCATTTTTCCGGTACATTTAAAAAATCCGAATCGGAATCGAGTCAATGGCTAGGCGGCAATTAGTAGCCAACCGCTACTTTAACCGTCTCTGTTGGTAAATTGCCCTAAGGCGTTGGTACTTAAGTTTTTAATTAAGGCGATTTACGCCGCGCCAACTAGGCGAAACTTGTCAAATTTTGTGAAATGTAGGTGGAGTGGAGGGAGATGATTGGCAGGAGCCTGTCACGTGGGTTCACAGCCTACCCAAGTTCAGACTCGAAGCAAAGCAGCTTACGCGTGAATTGAGAAATATTGGATATATTAATAATTATCAAGTTTTGAAACAGGTTATCCAGATTGGAATAATTAAACTAATATCGCGATCTAAATGAAGACAAATGGCACAACTAAGTGCAACAGATTAGCTAAAAATATTCAAATTCATCCTTGCTGTAAAACACAGATTGGACAGTGGTAGTCACGTGGGGGTCACCCTCCCGTGAATTGTCCACAGCCAATGCATCTTGAAATAGTAGATATCACAATTCAGTGAAGTCTTGGTCTGAGAAATTAAACACTAAAGTTCTTGTTACAACACTGAGGCACATGAGTTACTGAAACTATACACTATGCACATATAGGGACTACATTTAAAAGCCGCTGCCAGTCTTTATATATATAAGCGGCTAAAGTGTGTGTCGCCGATAGTTTATTGTTGCCACTCGAAAAAATGAGCGCGCAAATTAACGTTTTCGCAGTTTTTAATTAATATCTGGGCCGATTAAAGTCGTACGAAGATGAGAACGGTATAGATGAATTCGGAGAATTTTTTGGAATCCGAGGACACGCGTCTCGAATTTCAACTCGGCGCCGTTCCGCAGATATTCGAGAAAAAAGAGTTTGGCACGTAGCCAAATCCCTGTAATAGGGATAACCCAAGAAAGAAAGTGGAAAATGTAGGGAAAACGTAGGGCTAAATTAGTTTTTAATTAATATTTCAGCTAATTAATCTCCCAGAAAGACGCGAATTCTCAAAATAGCGTCTCACGGACCTGCGGAATCCAGCGGTGTGCTTCGCTAAACCCTGGAGCCAGCTGCTTCGGAGTAAAAGATGTTACTTCACCCTATATCTTTTTCTTTATATATATAAGCGGCTAAAGTGTGTGTCGCCGATAGTTTATTGTTGCCACTCGGAAAAATGAGCGCGGAAATTAACATTTCCGCAGTTTTTAATTAATGTCTCGGCCGATTAAAGTCGTACGAAGATGAGAACGATATCGATGGATTCGGTTTTTTTTTTCGGGGGGGGGAATCCGAGGATACGCGTCTCGAATTTCAACTCGGCACCGTTCCATAGATTTTCGAGAAAAAAGAATTAGGCACGTAGCCAAATCCCTGTAATAGGGAACACCCAAGAAAGAAAGTGGAAAATGTAGGGAAAACGTAGGGGGAAATAAATTTTTAATTAATATCTCGGCTAATTAAAGTCCCAACAAGACGCTTTTCGGAGATGATGTTACTTCACCCCATACATATATATGCGGCTTAAGTGTCTGTTTATCGCCAATAGTTTATTGGTTGCTTGCGTAACTGTACTAGCCAATGGGGTGAAGTTGCCACGGCACAGGTTTGCCGTTTCAATTGAGACGTAGACAATTTCCTGTAAAACTTGCCTATGCTATAACCATCCATAAGTCTCAGGGCCAAACGCTTAAGCGTGTTGGCATTTTTTTTACCTGAGCCTGCATTTGAACACGGTCAACTTTATGTTGCCTGTTTAAGAGTTCGTGAAAGAACGGACGTAAAATTAAAAATAATGGATGGTCCTCTGCAAGGCGATCTTAAAAATGATGGAAAGACCTACACAAGAAATATTGTGCCCAAAGAGATCTTTGATATGTGAATTAGCATTTTATTATTTAAATCACCTTTATTTATAGAGCTAACGGTGGCTCTTAAGAAATGCACCGCCAGCGGTTTCCTCCATTGCACTCTATTTTAAGCAATTAAGCAAGTACAAGGGAAAAACCTCATGGGGCAGTAAGTAAAGGGGCGCCCTCGCCGCCTTCCCTGGGTAATTCAGTTTGAATTAGCAGACACCTTTGCACAAATCATTTTAATTACAATTTATAATATATAGAACAGCGGTCATTTCGTTTGACCGCCGAGCTTTCTAGTTTTTATATAATTAAAAAACAATCGCTTTGTGTTTATTTGCCCTTGTTGAAATTAATAGACAGATATACTAATAAGTTAACTTTTCCTTCATTTGTAACCAAATGTTCGTGTAACATTGTATATAGAAACTTTTTCCCATTTGCGGCAGTGCCCCGTGCTATCAAGGTGATGTGACTATGTGAACGTGCCACATCATCATGACAGTTTATTGGGAATTTGAAAATAGGCTGATGTCAATGTTATTAACCGGTACATTAATACGTTTTACGCATTATTACGCGAGCGTATATATGCTTACTGGCCGCTTAGACCAAGATTTTGGTTGGACATATATATGCTTGCTGGTCGCTGAGAGCACTATTTTGGTTAGACGTATATACACGTTCGGCCGCTCAGAGGGTTAAGTAAGCAAATTTTTTTAATTTAGTTTTTATCTGGGTTATTTCGGTTAATCAGCGCGTAGCAGAGTACCATTAAATTAAATTAAGTAACATAATTTTTCTAACTTTGATCAAGGTAAAGCACGTAAGGATGATCTTCATAATGGATCGATGTCTTCGTTAGAATGCGAAATTGAGAAAATAACTATACAGCTAGTCGCTAAGATTCGAGATACCAGTGATCAGCATACTTATCTATACAGCTACTGCTAGGTAATATTTCTAGAAATGATGTATCTGAACATGCTAATGTATGAGACAGATTAGAATTCCCATTTTTATTCCAAAAATTTTTTTCTGTTGTTAGTTATTTAGGTTAGAGAAGTATCGGAAGATAGATCATTACCTCCACCCTTTCATCTTCCGCAATAACCATGCGCTCCCATATGCTTAGTCTTGGTTCCGAAGGTCCCAAGTAGCGTTTAACAGGAGGATCTTGATCTCTTTCAGACACTTTTAATTTGTTCTCACTCAGTTCAAAACCCAACCTGCAAAAATAGCCATTAAATCTTCACATTGCAGCTTGAAAACCTAAAATATGTTTTTAAACCTAATGTCCCTGCAGCGCGAACCCTTGACTCTACCAGTGAATGATTTTATATTAAAAAAGGCGAACAGAAAAAATGTGTGTCGTGTGTGGCATTGGGGACTTAGCTGATCAATGTTTACGTTTAGATAGGGTTAAATATTGCCATACTTCTTTATATTCACTATGCTATTTATATTTGTGATGTAAATTTATGAAAGTATTCGAATGATTTGTTACAAACAAGAAAATCTTTACGTGTAAATAATCTTATTGCTTGGAATAGCAAACACTTTTGAAATTGTTGATTAATTTGTTTGCTCTTCTACCATGTTTACTCACAAT